AGAGAGAGAGAGAGAGAGAGAGAGAGAGAGAGAGAGACAGAGTACTCTCCACGCAGGCACTTCAGACTTATCTGCACACTAGTCTGCCTGCACATCACGGGGTGGGGTGGGGAGGGGGGTGTTTGTGAATGATAGCAACAAAATTTTGGGCCATTGTTGAAAAGACAAACTAATCATGTGTCTGTGAATGGTGGCGGAAGAATGTAAAAAATGTATCACTGTATCTACTAATCTGAGTCATCTACCTCCATCAATAGTAGATCATTAACAGTTTTAGTTTCAGTTTTAGTTTGTTTTAGTTTTAATAAGTGTTTTACGCACTTGCAACATAAAGTCATACAAGAGCCGAAGATTAGAGGTGTCATACGAGAGAGTAACAAACATAACCAAGAAGGGGAGATAAGGAGGATAGACGTTTGATATGAAAGAAGAAGTAAACCACACCACAGCACCAGCCAACCACCCACAGGAGGGGAGATAAAGACAATAGATGTTTCATAGGAAAGAAGAAGCAAACCACACCAGAGCACCCGTCAACCACCCACAGATCAATCAATAACAGTACTAGTAAGAGTTTTACGGCACTTACAACACAGTTAGGTCATATATGAGAGCCCACGATTTGAGGTGTTACTACACAGGGATTTTTTTCAAAGGGAAGGCAGAGAGATATGGAAAAAAGGTGCAAATAACACCAGATCACCAGCTTACTTTTCTTTTAGTTTTAGCAAGTTTTACGGCACTTGCAATGCCAAGATCAGAGGTGTTACAAGAGTAACAAACATAAAAAAGGAGAGATATGGATGACAGATGTTTGGTAGGGAAGAAGGAGCATACCTAACCAGAGGACCCGCCAACCACCCATAAAAAAGGAGAGAGATGTGGATGACAGATAATTGGTAGGGAAGAAGGAGCATACCTAACCAGAGCACCCGCCAACCACCCACTCACCTTTGCTTGGGAGGGAAAACGGAGCCGTCCCACTGACCAACACAGAAGATTTGCTTCTTTGTATCATGGGTGATTTTTTACGCCTACCATCAACACAATCTAGGTCATATGGCCGCTTTTAAGGACAAGCGGGCCAACCCAGAAATCTTGACCCACACCAAAAGTGGGCATTGCCCTACCTATAGAGGTAAAATTAAGTTTCATTGGAGTGTTTGTTTGGATATTGAGAAAACGTCACCATGTCTTTTTAAAAAACTGAATAAGGGGCAAAAACTTCCTTTGATTTTCTCAAAAACAGCAATTTTCAGGATAGCCCCTTTGTGGTTAAAAGCGACCATATATAGGAGGTGGACTCCACTCAGATCTGCCCACCAGGGCCAACACAGAGCGTGACCCCAGTGCTTTCTTGTCCTATCCCCAGTCTTCTAAACACTGAAAATGTGACTTCTTCTTAAGCGTACTCTTTGTTTTGAACTGTTTCAGTATTAGTAAGAGTGTTACACACTTGCAACACAATAAGGTCATAAAAGTGCCTAAGATTAGAGATGTTACAAGAGAGTAACAAACACAAAAAAAGAAAGAGGAGAGATCAGGACGATAGATGTTTGATAGGAAAGAAGGAGCAAACCAAACCAGAGCACCCGCCAACCACTCACTATAACCTGTTTTCACCCTTATTACAAAAATGGAGATAGGACAAGAAAGAAAGCACCGAGGTTGCGAGAGGAATCTACATCCCAGCAACAAGGCCGAGATACTTGATAAAAAGGTGTCAAAGACAGACGTAGATAGACAAGGTGTACCCACCCACAAGAGACAAAAGAATCGATTTAAAAAAAAGAAAGTTTCAAAATGAAAAAAAAAGAAGCGTTACATGACATTTCTCATTTCAATCAATAGAACGTGCATGTGTATAATGAACAGTACAGCCATATTATTGGTCGCTTTTAAGGACAAGCGGGCTAACCCAGATTTCGGCGGTTACCATAAATCTTGACCTACACCAAAAGTGGGCATTGCCCTACCTATAGAAGAAGTTTGTATTCATTGGTGTGTATATTTGTTTGGTTATAGAGAAAACTCTCGTCTTTTAAAGAAACTGAATATGAGGCAAACACTTTACCTTCCATTTTCTCAAAACAGCAATTTTCGGGATAGCCCCCTTGTGCTTAAAAGCAACCATTTTGTCTAATGAGAAGCAAGGGCTAGAAGAACTCGGACTCCACACACTTAACTGCCAACTTACAAAAACCCAACAAAACACCCACACACATTCAGCTCCGAACTTGCAAAAACCAAACAAAACACCCAGACTGCGTAAGCCACAAGTCAAGACGATAGGCAATTGCTGGACAAGTAACCCACCGTCAAACCCTTCACATGGGTTTTTCTGCATGCAATAAATTCAAACCATTTGAAAAAGACTTCAACAGAGTCAATAGTTAGTAAAGGTCTCTCCAAATCGAGTGATGGGCTCCCTTCTCATGATGAAAGGCAAATCATGTTTTTAAAGTTTATCATTTTTCTTCAGCAATAGCAAGTCCGTGAGGAGCAATACTAGAAAATAGAATACGACTTTTTCGACAAAAATGTATGCAGTTTTAGTTTTGTAGAGATTTTACGGCTCTCGCAACTGTCATATGAGTGCCAAAATGTACTTTGGTACTCAAATCCTCAAAGGCATGCTAAATACACTTTGTCCGTACTGGTTGGCAGCTATGCACACAGAAGAAAAGACTTGAGTAGGTGTTATTTTTAGTAGAGGTTTTACGGCGCTCGAAACTGCATAAGGTCATGTGAGCACCAGAAGATTAGAGGTGTTACAAAAGTGTAACAAACATAAAAAATAAGGGGAGATAAGGACGATAGAAGTTAGATAGGAAAGAAGGAGCAAATCACACTAGAGCACCCGCCAATGAGTGGGTGTTGTACGGCACTATCGACTCAATCTTGGTCAAGTGTAGAAGAAAAGATTAACAACCACAAGGGATCAGGCAGCATTCACAACGGGGAAACAACCAATAGGGCTTACCTGACGAGGCTGTGTCTTTGATTTCCTCAGTTTTGGTTGGGGGGTCATCTTTCACCGCTGCTGCTGGTGAAGGCGGTGGTGGCGTCTGCTCTTTTGCCTTGGCCGTCGTCGCGTTTGTCTGTGGCGGGGGCACTTCAGCGACAACGGGGGCCGGGGCTGGCGACACTTCTTTGGCCGGGGACGCTCTCTTCTCCACAACGGCACTCGCCGCGGGTTTGGGGGGAATGTTCTCAGCGGCCGGAGGGGGGACAACTTCAACCGTCGTCTTCTTCTCCACCACCGCCGGGGCGGCAGCTGGGGCCTTCGCGACTGTTGGCTCCGGACGGGCGGGCTGTGGGGGCGCCACCACGGGTGCTGGGCTGTCGGGGGTCGCCGCGGGGAGGAGGGGGGCGGGGGTCACGGGCGCCGGCTGAGGGGGGACAACTGGCTGTTGTAAGGGCAGCGGTTGTGGCTGTTGTTGTGTGGGAGGAGGGGGAGCGGCCTGTTGCGGCGGGGGTGTGGGTGCCATGGCAGGTGGGGGGACTTGTGTCCTCACCTGAGTCGGGCCCTGGGGGGGCTGTTGTTGTTGTTGTGGGTGGCGGGGGCCGTGCGGCAGGGAAGGAGCGTGCGGCTGCTGGGGCTGCTGAGACACAAACATCTGCGCCGGCGTCGTCTGGCGCACCTACACCGTCCAGACAGAGGAAACATTTGTTTGTTTTAGTAGGGGTTTTACGGCGCTCGCAATTGCATAAGGCCATATGAGCGCCAGAAGATTAGAGGTATTACAAGAGAGCAACAAATACAAAAAAGAAGGAGAGATCAGGACGATAGATTTTGATAGATAAGAAGACGGGAGCAACCACACCAGAGCACCCGCCAACCACTGACAAAGAAAACATTTCCCCGTCAGCAAAGATCATTGTCTGCTCTTTAACTGGTCGCTTTTAAGGACAAGCAGGTGAACCTGCGTTTCGAGGGTTTCCAAAAATCTTAACCAACACCAAAAGTAGGCACTGCCCTTCCTATTGGAAAAGTTTGGTTCCATCGGTGCGTTTGGTTACAGAAAAAAATATTCCTTGTCTTTTAAAGAAACCGAACAAGGGGCAAAATCTTTACCTTCGATTTTCTCAAAACAGCATTTTTCGGGATAGCCCCCTTGTGCTTAAAAGCGACCAAATGTAAGTGTTCATACGCCTACAACACAACATAAATCATTCAGGAAACTACTTCTGGCTGCCTGTCAAAAGCCAAATTACGCCAGGAGAAAGACGAGAAAATTGAATTAAAAAATGTTCTCCCAACTAGGAAATAGAACTTGAATCTCTTCCACGCGATAGAAAAGAGCCCAACCGCTACAACACACATGTCAGCGACTGTCTTTTTTCCGATTAGAAGTGTATATGTATTTGAAATATATTTCTTGGCTGCGAAAACGTGCGCAAAAATAAAACTTCTAAAACACAATGCTCCCCCTCCCAGCTAATTGCTTGCCAAGTCAGAATGTAAGAGAAAATTGGCTTGACCAAACAAAATTAAGAGAAGGGACATAACTCAGCGCGTTGAAACATTCGTGTGGTATTGTGAATTTCTGGGTAGATTTTTAACTGAAAATTGTTGATCACTAGCACAAAACACGTAAGCTTGCCATTTCTTAGGACCACCAAATTTTGGCGGTTATTTTCTCACTAATTTTCAAGGGATCCCCCACCTCCTTCAATCCCAAATGTTTCCACATTTATTTGGGTTTGTTTTTTTCATCAAACAAGACAGATTAACAAGGTTTAAGAGTACACCAATAACTCCAGACCCCCAAAAATTGACAAGCGTTTGATTCCACTGCATCATGAAACATAAGCAGCCTACTCTACAAAACCAAAAAATCAGACTACCCATACAGCAGGGTGAGATGGTGGGGACTGACAGAGTAACCCCCCTTCACAATATTTTCTGCATTCAATCAACCCAACCTATTCAAACTAGACATGCAGTGAAAGATCTCTTGAATTGTATTGTTCCCACATCTGGTCTAGAAAAAAATGTTTGTTATGCATTGACTACACGTCTGTGCGAAGCATTACAAGAAAGAATATTTTCATATACGAAAACAAGACTTCTATACTAAGAAAAACCAAAAAAAGCCTAATAAAAAATGTGTTTACATACTGGTTAGCAGTTTGTTATGCATTTGTGAGACGTGCTGACAAAATGAGTTTCTTCTCGCAATCCACAAATGGGGATATTGGCCAAAAATCCACATTAGGGTTAAATTTGTAGATTTTCTATTGATGCCATATTCTTCAAGAATAACGTGCCTTTAATTATTTCATACTTAATAAATTGTAATAACATTACCTATAAGCGTGATGTATCTAATTCCTTAATGCTCAAAATCGAAGTACCTCATTTTGTCAGCATGTTTCCCATTTGTCACCGCCTACAAAAACAACCAACAAAATAACCACCACACACGAGCTACGCTACGGTTGCACCAACTGACCTGTGGAGGCAGAGAGGGGGGTGGCACACTGAGGTTCATCACCTCGGACATGGGAGGCCGGATGTGCGGCATCATGTCTGGGGCGGCACCAGAGTTGGGCGGCTGGCCCAGGATGCCCTGACCGTGGCCGGGCATCATGTTGTGAGGTGGGTGCATCGGATTCTGGGAAGAAAATCATCACAAAGCTCTTTCAACTGCTCTGGCTGAGCTTTAGTTTTACGGCACTTGCAACACAATAAGGTCATATAAGCGCAGAGGAATAGATGTGTTACAAGAGGGTAACACATAAAAAGGGAGGGGAGAGAAGGAGGATAGATATTTGATAGGAAAGAAGTTAAAGGAACAAACCACACCAGAGCTCCCGCCAACAACCCACGGCTGAGCTTTCAAAAATATGTAATTTGTAGAAGTTTTCACTCCAACAGACACTATTATTATATCATTTGAGAGCTGGATTTCCACAGTAAAAGGGCCAACCCAGGCTAAGGGAGAGATAGTTCCCAGCGGAAAGAAAGACTGACAAAACTTCACAAAAATTCAGCCTAGGTCTCAGTAAGTCTTACACCAATTGCAACACACACAGGTCATACATAACAAAGAAGAAGGAAGGATAAGGACAGTAGATGTTCCATATAGGACAGAAGAAGGAAGGATAAAGACAGTAGATGTTCCATATAGGACAGAAAGAGGAAGGATAAGGACAGTAGAATGTTCCATATAGGACAGAAGAAGTGGCGCTCCCGACCAAATCCCTTCCAACCACCCGCGCCGATGACCAAAGCGCACCTGTCCCGTTTTAGTAAGTGTTTTACAGCACTTGCAACAAAATAAGGTCATATAAGAGCCAAAGATTAGAGGTGCCACAAGAGAGTAACGAACACAAGAAAGAAGGAGGAGAGATCAGAACGATAAGACTTTTTATAGGAAAGAAGGAGTACACCACTCCAGAGCACCCGCCAACCACCCACGTACCTGTCCGGGCGGCATCATGTGGGAGGGATGTTGCATGGGTCGGATCATGTTGGGAGGCTGCTGGCCCTGCTGAGGAGGGGGCGGGGGCTGCTGGTAGGGGGAGGGAAGCCCGTTGCTCTCCACCACCGGCGCCGACGTCTGCGGGGGCTCCATGGGCGTCGACCCGGCCACGGGTGTCTGGATTCTCTCCGCCACGCGGGTGGCAAACTCCTGAGCCACTTGCTGGTTGCCCTGTATCACCTGACAACAACAACAATACGAATATTGATAACTTATTGACTGACTATAAGCTTTATTATTATTTTTCTTTTTTTTAGTAATATTCGTATCTCTTATCCCCCATCACTAAAGTGGCCCCCATGTGATTTTTCGGCATACTTTTACTAAATCAGTGCTCCCCGAAGAAATTGAAATTAAGTGCTTTTAGAGGGTTAGAGGGTTGAAAATGGCATTTGGGAGTCTGTTTCATGGGTCTCAACTCAGAATTCCAAACAAGGAGGAACTTTTCAGGTGATCGCCACAGAAGCCCATTTTCGCGAAACACCCATTATTATTATACTGTTGAACCCTACAATGCAGAAATAAAAACCATCAACTTATCAAAGCAAGGTTATTTCACACCAATTTGAGAGATAATTTCAAGTCACGTACCAAATATTTACAATCTTGATTACGTACAAAAAGCCTGGGGTCTTGTTCGACTTATTTATATTTTCCCTTCATCATATTCGCCTGTATATATAAATTATATAAAAAGGAATATTGTTTTGAGCCTAGAACCAGAATATCGACTGTCATGATTCATGGCATATATATATGCCAATATAATAAACGTGAAAGACAAAAATTAATGCTCAAACTCAAAGTCAAAGTAGAATAGCCCAAGTAGACCTATTCAGTGTGAGAGGTGAAAGAACTGTAGGAGGGCAAGATGCAGTGATACTGAAAATCTGCGAATCTTAAACAGAAAGCTAAAATATAGAAATCTAATTTACTGTCACCAATCCAATGAAACGTGAACACTTGGGCCCCTAAGTTCCATAACACGCTTACAAGTTATGACGGTTCCGATTTCACACAAGGCCTGCACCAACGCACACTTTACTTTGCAGAGAGCTGTAGATCAGCTAGTAATCAAAATTCTAAACGTTAAACATTTGCTTTCAGTTTCAGTTTGTTTGTCCTCTGGTGTTGCGTCCAGCCAGCCATCCCCCTATCCCCGAGTGCATCTTTCAAAAAAATCAATAATCTCCCCCCATTCCTGAGTCCCGTACTTCGAAGCGCTCAGGTTCAATGACCGGTCACAATGGCGAGCCCGACAAGACGCTTGCATAACTTTCTTTTTGGTCTTACCCCCAAAAGTGACAGCATAGTGACAAATATTGATTTATTTTCATGGCAACACCACGTTTGCAATGCCGAAGCTGCATGTTACAATAAATGTTGCGTTATCAGACAATTACTGACAAACTTCTGGGTGGTAACGAAAGCGAAAGTAGATCTTGATTTTCCAGTCGAGCCCTGGTGACACAATTCCGCTTGCCGCCAAAACTGCCAGTTCGCGTGAAACGTACTCTCAGAGCCAAATTAATATCACAATCGCGACCGGCAGAAATGAATTTAAAGACGTTATTGGATTTGGTTTTTCAAATATTCGAGATCTTTTATGTATTTTCCCGGGTCTCAGTGATTTTTTAAAAATTCCTGGAGCCAGTCACCCTGCTCCAAACAACCCTCTTTCTGATAAGCCCGCTGTCGCGGTAGCGGAGTTTAGCGGAGAAAATGGTGGTAGCGGAAATCTGCTAAATAGCGGACTATTGAGACCCATGCTGTTTGAAGAGATTGCCGGCAAACCATAACATTTATTTGTTCATCAACATTTGGTCTTGTTCGCTTTCTTCACCAAGATCTACATAATAATTTTCCATTGATGGCAATTGTTAAAAGCAGTTTCCCCTTTCATTGCTACTATAATTTAACGAATTTCATCGCAACATAGATAGAAGGCAAACCTGGGAATAATGAATAGATTATGTACCTTCACAATACAGTCACCCGGCGGCGTACACCCTAATTTGAACCTTAAATTTCACGCCCCCGAATGCCAGAAGTCAAAACCTTGGAACACCACTTCGAATTATCCTTGACTTTAGTAGTTTTAGCATAAATCAGAGTTTTCCCAGCGGCTGATGTCATTTTTCGAGGATATTCGGGTCCAGGGCAGAGCCCTGGCAGGGGGTTATGTTTGAGAATTTTTGGTTTCAGAGCATCCTAAGTAGGCCATTTCTGGCTATTCAGGCCTAAATTTAACTAGAAAATAATTGAGAAAAAAAACCATACCTTGTTACGCCTTGTATAGGCCTACATAATTTTCTGCTGTGTTAATCCATATATTTCCAAATCCAAACATGCTTTCTCCCTTGTACAGATACTGTACATCCACAACTAGATCTATAAAACTTGACAGTTAATGTTTAACTTTTTTCTGCTTGTGTTGGTTTGCACCATAATCAGCATAAGGTGTAGAATTCTTACAATAATATTAATTAATAGCTTTTTATATATAACAGCTTGACTTGATCTCTAGATTCTAGTCTAAATTCTAGATCTAAATAACTTGACAGCTTATATTCAACTTAAATCCACAACAATACTTACAAATGAACACGTCTGGTAAAAAAAAACAAGCTCTCTTTAGTTTTCTTTTCTTGGCAGGCCCAAGATCTATTGAACCACAATCGTCATTTATTCCTCTTGTTTACAGAGCTGGTGCTGTGCTTCTTGTGCTTTAGAAAGTGAAAGTAGAAGACACTGTCTACACTTTCAAATAAAAGAGCACTTCCGGTATGGGTTGGCTATTGGTAATAACGGAAAATTTTTATTTCGCATTTTTGAAAAAAAAAAATTTTTTTTTTTTGGGCACGAATTTTCACGGAAATGTTTCCATTTGCGGAAATCTACTAATTTGCGGAAATCCGCAAAATTGCGGAAGACTGGAAGCCCTGATAAATTTCTTTCATCGCGGCCCTTATCGCGTTCCCGCGCCGTAGAATCTTCGTATTGATCAACGCGCAGATTTTCCTGCCGCGGCTGGAAGACAGTCGGAATGAGTGAATGATAGAAAGGAGGAAATTGGCACAAAAAGTTCGCCAGATTTTGATCAATCCGCAGGTAAAAAATGTACTGCCGACAAGCCCGCAATGAATGCATGGAGCATAGCGGAATAATGGCAGATTGCAGGAAATGCGCAATCTGGCAGTTTTCTATAACATAAACTTATTGCTGAGAGAATTACCGTAAATATCCGTAACTTATACTAGTACTAGACGATACGAAGGCGAGTTCGGATCTTTTGCTATGGAATTTCGGCAGTCCTACGCTGTCACAGCTTTTTACAGAGGGAGTTGATAATGATGGAGGAACAAGTACGGAACTGGCAGAAAGTACGGATTGGAAGAGTGGAAGCACTGTTAAATGCTAGGGATGAAGATGATGAATTATTTCCAAAATTTTGGTCCCCCTATAAGAGGAGTTGGGAATGAGGGTTGTGTCCTGCCCCCCAGGACAGCCTGCGGGGACTCAAAGTAAGCGCCAAATAAACTGAACACTAAGATAAATGTGCACATCATTTCCAACATCATCATCACTAACATAAATAATCATGATCACAATTACCATTACCGTCACCACCACTACCGACTAAACAATTCCCCTTTCCCTTGTTTCGTTTCTCTAGAAAACTTAACAATTTGCACCATGTCAATACATTCTTACATAACCAACAAATGTGGCCACCAAAATCAGGACACGGGACATGAAAACAATCTCTTATCCCTCATATGCATACAGACCAAAGCACTGCAACAGCAGAGTGTCAGTGTAGTCAGTGCAGTTACGAGTAGTATTGTATGGGTTAGAGCGACTGTCGCTCGTCTGAGCCTTTGGTGTGACCGCGCGGTTACTAAACCTCAGACGAAATTTTATCTTGAAAGTAACAGCAGAACTACGAATATTATCAATTTATTTGTATGTCGCAATTGTAACAATTATCAGGCTATCATCTGAGAATTCTGAGCGCAGGCAAAGATCAAACACAACTTGGGGCGAGTCAACTACTAAATCCAGCATCTTCCTACTGATAAAAAGTTCAACAGGTGCTTCCCGCGATAAAGAGTAAAAGAAGAAAGCAGAGCAAGTTTGTTTTTTTTAAACAAAAATCCGGCACATTGGCAGACTGCAACGGAAAAAAAATATCGGGATTTACGCGACAGATGATGGGAACATCGGTATGCTTAAGATTAAGGGACAAAAAAAAATCGGGACATCCTGACCAGTCTTCTTAACCAATCTAATAACCCTTCTGTTCTGAAAATAATAGAAAACCAGCACCCCTGTATAACCCTTCTGTTCTGAAAATAATAGAAAACCAGCATCCCTGCCTGTTACAAGACACGGCATCCATCCCTATCTCGTAAATTGGTTTTACTAAGGTTTCAAGGCGCTCACAACTGCATAAGGTTATATCAGAGTAACGGGGTGGAAGTCAACAGAGAAGTCCAAACGGAGAATCAGGCTTACTCTGCTCACCTCTCTAGCCTCAACAGCACAAAGTCT